TGGATCCAACAGCAAACCACCTGAGAGCCGGTCCCACGGGCAACACACACATGCACACACGAGCTTTTGTTATGTAAAACGAGAACTAAGGCTGCCTGGGACACAGCAGCTGGTGCAAGGGAGACACTCCCTTGATTCTGCTGGAGCAGAGCTGAGCACTGTCCCCCTGCCATGGCCAGTCCAGCATGGGCAGAGCCCCACACCAGCTGAGGGGGCTCACTTGTGAGTAACAAACCATGCAGCCACCACACTGACAGTGTTCTACACTGAAATTTAAATACATTATCTGACAAAATACAGTACTTGGCAGAGCTACTAGGAGCACTAAGGAACACAGGGTGTGGAGAGGAGGAGCAGCTTCAGTGAACTAAGCTCAGGAGCTCAGGCTGGCACTGGAGTCCCGTGTGGGGCAGCAGCCACAGCCTGCACATCACCAACACCAAGATCAGGTGACAGAGGCTCTGCTCAGCCTTCATCGACCACTCTTTAAAAAGCCAGACTAAATTGTGGCTTGGTGCTGTAACCAAAATGTTTCAGATCCCCGAGCCACGATGGAGGTGAGGAGGCTATAACGCTCCAAGCAAACCCTGACCCTGCCACAGCACTCGGGGTTCTGCACAGGCGGGACTTGCACGGCACAGCCCTGTCCCTCTCCAGCCCCATCGCTCTCGGCCTTACAGCCCCAACCAGCTCAGTTTGCCATTGCTCTGGGGATCTGTCACATGATTTCAAGCTATTTGCACACTGAAGCTGAACAGGAAAAAACCCCTAAACCTTTCTATCCAAGGATAACCTACAAGCATGGCCTGAAAGCAGCCTCTGAGAGCTTCACCACATGGTTCAGAACAGAGAACAAGCAATGCTGTACCTGTTCCACGTGTGCTCACCTTCCAAAGTCAGAAAGCATCAGGTCACCGCCCATGGACAGGAGTCTACAAGTGTCATGAAGTGCTGCAATAACTTGCACCAGCTTTTAAACACTACTGTTTCAAGGGCTCTGGAAATCCACTCATCCTCCACTCAAGAAATGCCCTTCCTGCTCCTGATTTAGAGGGCCAGGCAGAAATTAGATCCATTTAAATTCCTGGCTGAGAACTCTGAGCACACACTCCTGCAGTCCCAGCACAGCTCAGCCCCCAGCAGAGAGGGAGTGGAACTGTGCAGGGGAAGAAAATGTCAGGAGGGATCAAAGTGAGGCAGACAGTGGTGACACCCTCACTCTCTTGCAGCAGAAAGGGAGAGAGATGGGAACCTCTGTTCCTCTCTCTGGCTTACAGGCAAGAGGATATTACCTGTGATGGACAATGCTCCTTTCCAGCAGGGTGCAAGAACAGCTTAGATTTGACATGTGTCGTTCTTCTTCACAAAGGATGGAGACCTTTGGGACTCAGATTTCTGCCAGGGGGGCAGGGAAATCAACCAGTCCCAATGTGTTTGTCTAACCTGGCCTTAGCAATCTCAGGCTGTGGAAACTGCATGTGGAGGCAGAGTAATCCCATGCCTCCAGTGCCTAACTGAAGTCTCCCTGGTTTGATTTTAATACATTACCCCTTACTCTGATCCCAGCAGCTGTAGAGCACAATGCTTCCTCCTACCCCATTCTGCAGCCACCTTGAACATATCTGAGAACACAAACATCTCTCATCCACCTCTAAACTAAATGGAGCCTCCTACCTAACTCCTTTCTCACAGATGATGTTTTCTAAGCCTTCTGGACATTCTCCAGATCACCTCCCAGCAGAACACTCACTCAGATTTCATCAGCAAAGACTTTGATCTGTATTTACTCTGACAAACAGGTTGTCTTCAGCCAGGAAGTAATCAACAATAGCAAAACAAAACAAAACAAAAACCAAACCCCACCAACTCAAAAATCAACCAGCAAACTTAAAGAGAAAACAAAAATCCCCCAAACTCTGAAGATATTCACTTGATACAGCAATAACAGCTCTTCCCAAGCAGCAAAAGGCAGTTCCAGGGAACGCTGCAGGTCCCTCCCATTCCCAGACAATACTAAGCAAAGCTGGAATTGTCTTTAACAGCCCAGCATGTTCCCCTGCTGTGTGTTCTCGGCTGAGCACAACATGGGGAAACATCCTCACAGGTAATGGCTCCACATCCATCCTGCCCAAATTGCATCTCCCCTGAGAGCTACAGGTGAAGATGATCATCAGGCACAGCATGTGCACTTACAGGCTTAAACTCTATCAGTTCTTGGGATCTGAGCTCTTCACACACAGTTGTTCACTCGCTTCTGTTACCAGCACTTTGTATCACTGCACCAATTCCCAAAAGCACTGGCACAAAAAAGGCCCCCCAAGACAACACACAAACGCATTAACATGAGCTGATGGCCCACACAGGCTGTTTCTTAAGAATAAATTCTCAATTTTAACATACTACTCAAGCTTGGGAATTGGAAGCTATTTTAAAATTACGTTTAATTTCGGTGCTTGCAGACCAGAACAGTTTAGTACTTGAACCAGAAAGGAACAAGGAAACAGGCAGATCTGTATTTAAGGATGCTGACTCGGCTCTGTACAAATGACACAAAGTATTCCCCCCACAGGGCTCCGGGACGGAACAGTAATCAAAGTCAGTTATGTGCCCTCAGCGCTCACAAGCTCCTCTGTCACTGCACAGCTTGCTGAAGTTGGTCGTTAAGCAGCTGGTTCTGCCCTTAAAGCCTCATGTCCACTTAAAAACAATCACAACACCGGAGCTGTCGGTCGGAACGTGGGTGTCGTTTCTGCAGATCTCCAGTTCGGTTGGATTCTGGTAATCCTGATACAGGACTGTTTTCATCCCACAGGCCTGTTTCTCCCAGAAAAGCCGAGAATTAAGGGCACTGTACAGGTTGCTTTACGCGCAGAGGGAAACTGCTCACTTAAATGACAAAGCACAGCATCACCAGCTTAACGAGTCCTGGGGGCGGGACATCAAGAACTACTTTCAAAACACAAATTAACTTTTCCAGCAGCTTGCTTCCCTCCACATGCAAACACGGGCATATCCGAGCAAAGAAAACTGTCAAGGAGCTGAATTCTCCCGCACCAACCCGTTCCACCTCAGCCCTTCCACCGTTATTTCTCAGAAGACAGCTGGGTCCGAGACTCGGCCGCGACGGGAGCCTGAGCCCCTTCTCCCAACGGGGGCGGCTCCAAATTCTGCCCCGAGGCGGGACCCCCCGAGCCGCGCTGACCCCGCGCCAGGGGTGCCCCCGGGGCTCACCTGCAGCCCATGAAGACGTGGTTGGTCCAGAGCACGGAGAGAGCGAGCAGCTGGTCGATGGCGGCGCCGGGGTAGGCGGGCAGGTGTCGGAGGATGAAGCGGCGGCGCAGCGCCCATTGCCGCTCGGTCTCGTTGTACTGCCGCCACTGCTCCACCGCCGGCTCGGGCACCGCCTCCGGCTGCGGCTCGGCGGGCGGCGGCGCCATGGCGGGCAGAGGCCGCGGCGCCGGACCCCGCCGGGGGCGCGGACCCTCCGGGCCCGGGCGCGTTCGGCGGGACCAGGCCCCACGTGCGGACCAGGCCGCGGCGCGCTGTGGGCCAACGGGGAGCGCGGGCGCGGCCCGGCCTCAGCCGCCCCCCCTAGCCCCGAAGGCCGGTGCCGGTGCCGCCGCGGCCCCGCCGCCCCCGCCCCTCCCCGTCCCCGTCCCGGTCCCGTCACTCGCGCGGGGCCGAGCAGGGCGGCCCGGCCGGCACCGCCTCACGTGGCCGCGCGTCACGGTCGCGCGAGACACCGCGAGACTCCGACACCATAGCGGGGCCCGGGCGCCACGGGGCACAGCGCCCCCTGCCGGCGGCCGAGGGCGGGGCGGGGTCAGACCGGGGCGGGGCCACGGCCGGGGGGCGGGGCTACGACCAGGGGGCGGGGCTTGGACAGCCCCGGCGGAGTGTCCCGACGGTCCCGAGGCCGCTCCTTCCCTTCCCTTCCCTTCCCTTCCGTCTCTCCGCGGATCCCGCCCTGCCCCCGGCGTTGCCGACCACCGTCCCCGCTGGGCTTTGACTCCCCCGTGACGGTCTGGAACTGCCCCGGCCCGGCGGGAGCCCCGAACACAAACCACAGCAGGCGCGCTGGCTTTTCGTAATTTTTTATTTAAAATTGACATGAAAGTTAGAAAGGTCACAGGCGGAACAGTGCCGGTTCCTCGGTGTTTTGCCATGTAAATATACGCGGTGCACTTCCATGTGTAAAAAGGGAAGAGGGCCGGGATGGGGAGGTGGCTCTGGAAGCATGCGGGGAGCGGGCAGGGCAGGACGGGGCTGGTCCGGCACTTCTGGACCAGCTCACAGGGTGTGGAGGGGCTGTTGTGATGGTTATACCGGCCCCCAGCACCGCCTCTCCCTCCTGGTACTGCCAACTTTCCCTAACTTTAAAGAACAGGAGGAGGTGCAGTTAGGAAAAAGAAAGTACCACTTGACCCACGTCCACCAGGCTTGTTTAACAGGGTGGTGAGACACAGGAGGACACCAATGAAAACACACAGTTCTTACTTTATTTCTTTGATAAAATTAAATATTTTGTGGCTGCCAACAGAGTAAGTTGCACCATGTTCATATTTCCTTTGATTCTTGAATGCACGGTTTCCAAAACCAGTCAAACAATAGCATATTGAAAATATTCCTTAGGCTTCGCACCCCAGGGAAGCCCACGACATTTATATTATTAAAGACAACATTAGAAAAAAAATATGCCCATAACAACGTTTGAAAATGTATTCGCTACATCATTAGTCCAAACATCACATTTCTGTCGCTCTTCAAAATCCCAGGTAACAATCAGTTCCCCCCATATCACCCTGTCTTGTCACACAAATTACAAGACACTTCAATTTTAGGTATCATGCAAGTCAGTAAAAGAGCTTCTTTCCAAGACACTAACACTGAAGATTTGTTCCCCCCTCCCCAGACATAAGACCCTTAAACTCTTCTAGAAGTGGCAGTCTTCTCCCTCAGACACAGTGCAGCTGGCGAAGACAGATTAAAAAAAGCTACAGAGAGAGAAAAGGGGAAAAAAAAGAGAAAAAACCAGAAGATTAGCAAAAAAAGAGAAAGACACTCAAAAAGCAAGAAAAAGAGATGCAACATGAAAACAGCTGACAGAGGAGAGATGGCATCTCCTTGTGGTACCCTCAAGTACTTCAGAAACCACACATATAAAACCCCTTTTTTCTTTAAAGTCTTTTTAAAGACTTTGCATAACTTTAAATAACTTTCTAATAAGGCAAATGGTCAGGAAGAACAGTCAATGACCTGCAGTACGGTAAAAAAAGCAACATTAAATGGTTATTTAGCAGGTAATCTAGAAATCCTTCACAGACTGATATTGACTGGTTTGGGGAGCAGGGTAACATGCAACAGTAGAGGAAGAAGTAAATATTCAAATTATTTTAACTTCCTAAAACCCCCCAAATGAACCACAAAGCAATCAAAGAGTTCTATGGGACATGAAATTGTGTTTATGGTGAAACAGAATACCTGAGAAAATACATTGCAATCAAGAGTTTGGACTGCCCTGACTGCTGGAAACGGAGACCAGACCTTAGTGTGATCTGGGCAGCTGCTGCTGTGAGCAGGAGCTGGGCTGGCACTGTGCTGGAACTGCTCGTGGGCCTTTGGCATCACCCAGAGCACTTCTCCAGGAAAACTCTGAGCAGCAGCTTGCACTAAAACAAGACCACCTATCAGGGCTAGGCCTGACATGAGCTTATCTCCTAAAAACCCAGGGTTTGGAGGGTTTTTGTTGAGGCTGTTTGGCAGCAATGCATCCTGATCTTTCAGCATGGGCATGAGGTGTGGATTCACCCCCACACACAGAGCACTGAGCCCGCCCACAGCACGACTGAAGAATCAGGGTCACAACAAGGAACTCTGAAATGGAAATGAGGATTTACATGCTAGTCTTCAAGGAGCATGAACTAGCAACAGAAAAAAATAAAAGAAAATTTTAAAGGACAGATGAAGCCATGAAAATGACACCAAGTTTAAAGAGAAAAGAGTGCTTTATCTCTAAACTATGTGATAATTAAACTAAGGTGGTGTTGTCATTTTAACGTCACCAATAAATACATTTAAACTGCGTTGTTATTTTGCCAGCAAAAATAACTCACAGAACTTATTTCCCTATCCCTTATCTATCTAGGTAGAGAGAGACCAAGAAAAAGGATAATCCATTAATTGTAGGGGAAAAAAGTATGGTAGGATTGGTAGTTGCAGCATCCGAAACCTTGTTAGCACTAATTTTACATTGTTTAATAAAAGCAATAACCATGAGTACATAGGAAAGACAGAATCACAACGAGGATATAGGAGAGAGCAAGGGTAACACCCTGGAAAGGTCACAGCTGAAATGCTGTCATGTTTTATTAGACCCTCCGATTTAACAAGTAAATGAAGGTCCACTCCAGCCCATTGTATTCTGGGGTAATTACTCAGTACAGAGCCATGGGTTACTGTAAAAGAAGGGCAAAGAAAACAAAAAACAAAAGAAGTAAATGTTAACCAGAATTCACTGTCTGATGAACTCTTTATTTAAAAACAAAACTCAGCCAGAAATACACAGAGAAGACACCTGCAGGCAAACCACAGTTGCGCTTGGCCAGAGCGAACTCCTGGCCCAGTGAGCAAAACACCCTCCTTTTTAGTGCAGATCTTGCAGTAAAAACAAGGCTTTTGCTGAATAGAAAATATGAAAAGCAACCTGCCAACATCTGTACACTTTTAAATGGATGCCAGCTAAAAAACATACAGGTTTTTGCATTAAAACCAGAAATTGCTGGAATCACTGAGAAGAAAGTCAAAGAAACAGCATCGTCTTTCTTCACAAACACTGATATGTACAGCAAGGTGTCCAGCTTTCCCTGAGATTGGATCCAGGATGTGCATCCAGGCCAGCACAATGAGAGGGAGACAAGGCAAGAGATCCTTCGTGACCCCTGCAGCATTCAGAGAACACTTAGTTGCAAACCATGGATCCAAATTTGAGAATTCCCCAAGCCTGAGGACCAGAGGTTTGGACTCAGGCCCATGCCTGTGAGGATGTCAAGTTTTGCAAAAAGTCCTTGAAAATTATATGAGTCACACAGGGCAGCACAGAGGGGGTAACAAGGGGTTAGGCACAGCAAATTAATAAGGAAGAGGGCAGCCAGTCTCTTGAGACAGCACATCCCACCCCACTGCAGCATCTGGGGTCCCACCACGGAAGGTAAATGCACCCCCCAAGCAGCCCTGGCACAGCACAGAGCAGGGACAAAGAGCTGAGCAACGGGAAGAGGGGACACACACGGGAGCACTGGGAATCAGCAACGAGCACCTCTGGGCAGCTCGAGTTCCTCACAGGGACAACCACAACAGCCCAGGGCTCTCACTTTAACCAGAGTGGTGAGCGCAGGGGGGGAGCAATGGGCAAAGGTGAGCAAACAGGCACAATGGCACAGCCGCGTGTTAACCGGGGGTGGGGCATTTGCCTCTGGTGCGAAGGGAAAGGCTCTACAGGAAACCCGGACTGAAAATGAAAGAAAAAGGCAGGTTAATGGTTTTATGGATTAATGACAAAAAAAAAAAAAATCCAAAATAAAAATACAAATGTTTCCTAACACACACACACACACAAAAAGAAATGTTGCTAAGTGTTAATGATGTTTAATTTGACTACAGAACATGCTTTATGCAGACACACACATGCATACACGCACACACTCAGCAGTGGGATGAACCAAATTTATTTTCTAAAACAATCCTCTCACAGTTTTGCAAGATACAGAACTCATCAACTATGACTTGTTTGTATTCATGCAAAACAGTGGAGCCCTGCAATACTTTATGGATCAATATGGAGAGTGTTTTTTTGAATTCTGGGAAAGTACCATATATACATATTTAATTTAGCAACAACAAATGCTCATTGAAAAAGGCACTGTCTGCATTTGTGTAGCAGGAACAAAGAACTTCATTCGACTCAAAGCCCAGCACACAACAGTGTACAGTTATGAGGGCTGCCAAAAGCAATCCAAACCCAACAAAAATCAGCAATGTTCACTCTAACTGCACTTTAGCCGTGCCTTCGTACTCAGCACCAGAATGAACAGTTATTCTTTGAGCTTATTTTTTCACATTCAGAGTCTGATAAGGAGAGAATTGTTCTTTTCATTGTTTTACAGTTACCGGTACATTGATTCAACTGGACAGCTCAAGACGACTGCAAGCTCCAGTTCGAGGCAGTGCAAGACCCTTCTGAAGCTCTTCTGTTAAGTGGAAGGTCCCATTTAAATTACATTCAAATGCCTCTCACTGACAGCGTAATGTTTACATGCTTTTCCATTTCCCTTGGTGGAGCTAAGAGGGTAGGAATCCTGGAATCAGCTTTACCTATTTAAAGGCAGACCATAATTTAGTCTAGACAATTCAGGAGGGAATGTAAGTCTTAGCTTTGTCTGCAGGGAAGGGTGGACTCGAGGCTGAGTTTTCAGAGCGTTTTATAGTTAAGTGCTGATGTTCCAACAGGTCACTTCTCTGAAAGGCCTGCACACCTCAGCCTCGGGTGCTCTAATCCTTGCCTCGGATAATGAGTATTGCTGCTCTGTCAAGAAGCAAGACATTCCTGTGGGAGCTTCCTTTTTCCTCTCACCAGAGAATCAACAACAAATTAAAAAGACTCAATTAAACACACTCAACCTAGTTGTAAGTTGACGACTGTCATTAGCAGTTTAACTAATAACCCTAACGAGGATGCTGCTCTCCTGCCAGGCAGGGTCATTTCTTACTTATCTGTATTTAAATGACCCTTCCTTTTACAATAGCTGCAGGCACTCTGCACTGCAGACCCTTGCTTAGGGCTGGCTTTGTTAACCCTTTCAGGCAGCCCTATCTGTTCCACAGGCCTGGCCATGACTTTGTGGCCACCTCACACCCCTGCTCCCATGCAGGCAGAGACAGTGACAGTCACTGCAACTGGAGCAGAGCAGACTCACAGCATAACACCCCTGACAGGGCTCTCCTCCAGTGGGAACTCTCCACACCTTGGCAAAACTCCTCAGGCACTTGGATGCCGGCCTTATTCAGGGGCTAAGTGCTCTCTGGCAGGCTTTCTGGACACAAGATGAGCACAGCCCTCTTCTACCTCTATCCTTACCCTGGCCATGGGCACGCTTGGCAAGGCTCCCAGGGGTGTGAGTCTGTGTCTGCCTGCTACAACTGAACAGACAATCCATGGGTGACCCCTTTGCCTCCTAAAAGTGTCATAAAGACTCTCAGTCTCTCTTCAGAGCCTTCATTACCTGCTAATGCTCAGCCCATTATCCCTTGTGGTTTTGCACAACCAATGATAATCGGTCAGCAGGTGAATACTGGTTTGGTTACTCAGCAGTAGCTTTTTTAATGTTCACACACACACACACACACACACACACACATACACACAGAGTTTGGTGATTCTCTGGTGCTCTGGGACAAAGGAGAGCTCTAGGCTTGGCAGACTTTACTATCTGTTAGTATATGAAGAGGGGGATCTACCTTCCCCTTCACTGTAACCACAAGTTAACACTACAACTTGGGAGGGGTGGGAGGGAAGGAGGAGAAAGGGAAGAGGCATTTACATGGCTGGCTGGGCTGTATCATCAGCACCACATCTCCATAGCAATTGTTGCCATAGTATCAACATGGCCTGTGTGATTAAAGAATATAATTTATTTCTAAGGGAAATGGAATAAAGAGAACAGAGCCAACAAAGTGCTGGGAAGATTTAAAAGGAAAAGGACCTAATCCTTATTTTTTTAGGTTTCATATCCTAATACAAAGTTTCTGCATTTTACTTTGCAGAATCTTTAAAGACAATTACATCCCTTTTCTACAACTGCATATGTAGAGAGAAACTGGTAGAGCACATACTGTGAGGGTGAAAGCAGAGGAAGACAGAGATAATACTTATAGGCTTCTTTTACCCTTCCCTTTTTTAGGAAGGGTACTCTATCCCACTGTGAGGTTCTATTAGTTAATGAGCTTACCAGGACAATGTGCCTCATGCACCATGCAGCCAAACAGCAGCTAACTGTAAAACAGCACACAGGTAAAGAGCTAATGATGATGATAATGATGTCACAACAAAAACAACAAAAATAAACTAAGTCATGATTAGTGCAAATTACAGAGCTTAGGTTTAAAGGAGTCACCTGTGAAAGAAAAAGGCTAGTGTACTGCCAGACAGTAGTGAACTAGCTACAATTAAGCTACAGCTTGTGAAATTCACGGATTGTTAAGGAAAATTTATGATCTAAATACTGAAATGGATTATTAAGGACAACTGGAGAAGTTACAGAGCAAAGAAAGCAGCACCATTTCTAACACAGCCATTTTCCCGGAGGAGAGGAAAGCCCCCTAATATCTTCCCAAGCCGTACTGAAGCACTGACCCATCTCTGTCATGGAGTTTTCTGTGCCCTTAAATGACCAGGACAGTACCAAAGCTTTACCATATCAGTGTGCTTGGTGTCAAGGAGCTCTTCTGAGATCAGAAGCACTTCGAGGAACAAGAGTGTGACTCGGGCCACAGCAACTATTTGCTGATACTAGAGGGCATCTTGTTTCCCTTTTCTGCATTCCTGACCCTGACTAATCTCAGGGCTGAAGTCTGCAGTCCTGAGTGATCAGATGTCTGAGAGCTATAAGCATGAAAGAACTCAGTTGTGTATTCCTTACACAGTCCAGGCTGGGGAGAGAAGTCCGCTCCCAGTCAGTCTCAGACTCCTCAGCATGAAAAGATACTAAAACCCCCTGAAGGTAATTCAAATGAGCAAATCAACATAGGCAGCGGAAAAAGGAACAGACTAGTGAGAAAAGGGCAGTGCTAATTACTCATCAGAAAAGAATGTTGACATAGAAGCAGCTCCAGTTCAAAATTAAAAGACTAAACCAGGATCTCATTTTTGTTATCGGGTGTTTCTCTCCTGTCTCATTTGATTCCAAGCTTAACGGTCATGGGCTTTTTCTCTGACAAACAATGCTGTCAGCTCTTTGGGCACATCCCATATTGTCAAATTTAACAGCACTTCCTCATGTATTTGAGACTGCATAGTGCAGGCAAGATTTGTTCTGGACTTGCCCCAGGGACGTGCAGAGGGGGGATTGTGGCAGTGGTACAAAACCAGACTCGTTTGTCTCTGCACCACTGTCTGTACACTCACCCAGGTGGCACAGTGCTTCATTTTGGGAAATGTACCCCAGTGGGAAGAACTGCTCAATGCTGGGAGAACTGGGAGCACTGTTTCACTGTACAGCTGGTTGCTCTTGATCAGCTGCAGAGCTTCAAGAGCCCAGGCCCCTAAGGGGCACTGCCCAGATCCCAGGACCCTTACGAGGGGGTGGATCCTGAAACACCAGTCCCTGGCACAGGGAACCCCTGCTAAAGCCATGCAGTAACTCCCACTGCTTATGTGGAGGGCAAAAAGCTGACTTAGGTCTGTAGAAGAATACTAGTGCTAACAAGGTGCTGTAACCTGTCCCCTCATTTTGCAGCCTTACATTTTGCAGGCTCCATAAGTCAAGACTTTTCACAGTCCAAGTTTTTTCCCAAACTGAACAAATAAGAATCTGAGACAGGACATGCTCCTCTCTGGGGGTAGAGGAACACCCCTGCTACCCACACCCTCGCCTTGGCAGCTAGCATGGTTCCACTTCATTACAAGCACTGACAGACCAGGGGAGGAGCAGGGAATCTAGGGGAATAAAAATAAGTTCATTCTCTCCCATGCTGTCAGCAGGCAATGAGGGAGGTTAGCACTGCTCCCAGCTCTTCAGGATGACAGCTGAAGGTTAAACGCTTCCAGCTACTGCTCAGCCTTACTAGGCATTAGATCTGGCTGCAAACCTTCCCATGATAAGGACTGGCTATGTTGGAAGGGAGATATGAACACCCAGAAAATTAGTAAAGGAGAACCATTACCAAAAAGCAAATGCCACTGGGTTAGCAACTTACTTTTTCCTTTCCTTATCCCTTTTAAGAGTTTGCGATCCTCCAGCCTGCTGAGCCTGAGACTGAAGCAATTCAGCTGCTGTCTTCCTTTGTTTAAATGCATTTACTTCATCATCCAGAGACTTCTTCTTATCCTCTAGCTTCTTTTTTTCATCCTGATGTAATTTCTTCAGGCGATCAAACTTTTCATGCAGCTAAAGGGAAAGGAGAGAGGTGAGGAGGACCCAGCACTACCAGATACTCTGTGCACAGGAAAAGAGGAAGATGGAAGGATCCCTTGATACCTGAGCCTGCAAGTCTCTATTGGTCTCTACATAATTTCTAGCTCCTGAGCTGAGAGTGCCTAGACAAGAGCAGGGAACAGTCTCCTTCCACAACAACTCACAAACCAGGCAGTGTTCTAGTGAGGCATCATTGTGCACACTAAGAACAGAGGATTGAGAGAGCATAATTGTAAAAAAATCCCTAATCCATTTCCAGGAGTCTCTTCCTTATTCCTCTTTAAAGGTCAGTAAATTAATGGATTTTTCACAATGCTAAGGAAGTTGTATGGGTATCCTTTTTGTATAACAAGTTTATTCAAGGGCTGCTTCTCTCCTTGGTTTTTGCCACACTGCACCTCTCCATCAGAATCAAGTCTATGGCCCTTTCCTGGTGCAGTAAGCTGTACACAGTAAACACTGTGATTCAGTTCTGTCCTACAGGATGAACACCTTAATGTCCCCATCCAAGTTAAACCTTAGACTTCTTGATAAGAAAGTCCTAAACCCCACTTTGCAGAAAGTGCTTTGGCAGCAACTACCTACTTGGGAGTGAATCTATCACTCACAACCATGAAGAGACAAGTACTGCAGTCTTCACCTCTTTTTCAGCCTCCTTCAGCTCTGCTTCTTTCTCCTTGACCCTCTGGACAAACATCTGCCTCATTGCCTCTTCCTTTTTCTGCAGTTCCCCCAGAAACTCATTTCTTTTGGCTTCATAAGTTTCTTGTAAGCTAAAAAGAAAGGAAAGTCCAGTGATATGATTTGGGACAAACTCTGTTTCCTCTGACCTTCTGATATCAGGTCCTCACTGTGAATATTGCTTGAACACAACACATTTGCTACTCACTCACCCACATGTGCCCAAGGTCTTTTTTTGTCCAATAATTTTTGGGATCTGTTACACTTTTCTGTATGTTGAATGTTGGGCAATTCAAAGATACCCACCGGCAACAAACACTAGCTCAGAGGAACACTGCTGTGCCTCTGCAGCACAGATATTTCTCCTCTTATACTTGCAGTTTCAGTCAGTCCTGCACATGCTCCCCGTGTTTTCACCCTCTCTCACTCAGCCAGTACCTTTGCTGAATTGGATTTATTAGACCTGGCAGGTTTTCTTGCTGCATTGGTTCTTTCCATGCTCTCCCAAGGACACGCACACTTACACAAGCACATGGCACATCCAGCAATGCCTCTCTCAGGCTCTCCTGTCTCCTCTAGGATCTCACCTGAAGGGTTTGCTGTCTGGATCGGTGTCCTTGAACCCCATCTCTTCCAGTTTGCACCGCCGGTACAGCTCGTAGTGGCGGGTGTGGGTCTGCTCACGAAGGTCCTCCATGTTCACGCGGATCAGCATCTCCCGCAGCTTCACAAAGTCACAGTGAGCTTCATTCTCCACTGGAAGAAGACATGGTAAGGACTAAGGTAGGCACAGAAACAAAGATCTCTTCCCATATTCCCCACTTGTCTACTCCTCCAACAGGTTTAACAGCCCTTTGGAGCAGAGCAAACTGTCGCTATAGGCCTGACACAAGGATTTAGCAAAGGATAATTCCCCATGAGACAATAAAGTCCAGCAGGCCTTTCCTCCTTTTACGAGAGCCCACTTGCATACATGTCACCATTCACGCCATGAAAATCCCAGGGCTCAACTCACCCTGCACTGTGCCCCAGGGGTACTGACGAGCTTTCATCATTTTGTTTCCTATTTTCAGCTCCTCCGTGCTCCCGATCACTGCAAATGGCAAGTGGGCCTGGAACACATTTCATGATACCCACATTAGTCCCTCTCACACCTGGCTGACCCGCCAGCACACAGAGATTAGCACAGCCACTGAGCAGAACAGTCATTACGCACACGCTAATCTCAGGGAGTCTAGTCACTGGCCACTAGCCCAAGACAAAGGGGGAGCAGGGTGGGTCCTTTTTGGAAACCTTGTTAGTGCTACCACTCTATATCCTCTACCTGGCTGATCCTCCCAGCCACAGGGTCTCAGGTGAGATGAGCCAGTCAAGACTGGCATCAGAATGCCAGCTCGAACAATGTGCTGCGCGGCGCTGACTGCGGTGCTGTCCCGGGGCTGCCGTGGCTGAGGAGAACATCTGCACAAGCACAGAAGCAGTAAGAGGTCTTGGAGCCTTCTTGGTTTTTTATCCCCCCTCCACTCCCTTGGCTCACACTCCACTCCTTGCTGCATCGGATCATGAGATAGAAGTCCATCCTTCACCCCCAGAGAACAGCTCCTTCCTCCCCGCTTGCTTTAGCCCTGGTGAGGAAGGGCTGAATGTGTCCCTGCACAGGGTCAGCCTCCATGGCCACGTGTGCCCCGAGGTGTGCCCCAGGCTGAGCTGGGAAGGACTCTGCACTCCCTGGGGCTCACAAGAGAGATCTGCTTTTCAGAAATTCAGAAATCAAAACCAGTAATTTCTCAGTAAAGATGGTCTCTCTGAAGAATGCAAAAAGTAAGAGATTTGCCCAGTGCAAGCTCAGCAAAACTGGAAAAGAAACACTCCCAACACTTATCTAAGCTCTGAAGACCTGACCTTACAGTCCCCTCATTCCCCAGACTCAGGTAGCCAGGCAAACCCCCAACACTGCCATCATACTTTGCTGCACTTTTCTGTGGCGCAGTAAGTGAGATTTGTCCACACTTCCACTTGCTCTTGGGAACGATAGTGTGCATTCTGCCAAGCTGCAAAGAAGTCCAGTGCAAAGTTTCAGCACTTTAAAAATTAGAGTTCCAGCTCCCTGCACCAAGCCCTTCTGCTGAGTTTCATGCAGTGACATTTGCTAGAGAGCTTTTAAAGTGTGCTGAGTTCTGGGCAGTTGAAAGGGCCCCAGGAAACCAACCACGTGGAAGATCAGTGACCCTGGATTGCTCTCAAGAGCAGGCAAGAGAATTCCATAGCTTATCTGAAAACCTGGACAAGTTCATGACAGCTGATACAAGCAAAAGATTTCACAGATTATGTTTTCTGCTGTCAGAGTGTGGCTCATAGAGCCAAACTGTAAATACAGCAAAACTGCCAGCAAGCACTCACACAGATGGGTTCTTCCACTTGTATTGCTCAGCCTCCCACCTCTCACATGGGACACACAGAATAAGTGGGGCTAGTGGTCAGCCTGATGGGGCACCAGAGGTGCCCACTTCTCTCCTCTTCCCATCCTGCTGCTTCTGAGGGAGAGCTTCCAGACTTCCCCATTGGCTTCTTTGGACTGTCCATAAGGAGCATCCCATGACTGGCTTCTCCCACAGCTCTTAATGCTTTTTGTTCACTTTGTATCCAGGCCTCTGGGAGAGCAAAGTAAGAGGATTTTCCAATGGACAAAGCAAGCAATAGGAACAAGAGGAGAAGCCTGAGGCAGTGGCAGATACACCGTGCTATGGCCACACAGGCACGGCCTGAACCTCGGCCATCAATGGACCTGGTTACACTCAACAGCAGAGACTCTTCCTCCACAGGCACCAACCGTCCAGTTGCTGTCTTTGCCAGGGAGAAAGTGCTGGTGATTCCCTTTTTCCACTAGCAAGGAAGTTCCAGCTCCCACCATGTGGGACAGTTCACACAGCTGCATGTGATCTCATTTAACTAGCAGGTGCAGGGAGAATATTTTTTTCAGTAATTAGACTAACTAATTCAAAATGGAAAAGCCATCAGGGAGTTGAAAGAATAGGAGAGCTTGTTTTTCTTATTTGATTTTATGCAAGAATAAAATCTAGATGGGAAGAGACCTAATGAATTTTGGACAGTGTCTTCTCTGAACTTGTATATATATACTTTGTGGGAAAAAAGTAACTGATCCAGAGAAGCTGATGGTCAGCAAGAAGCACTACTTAATTATGAAAACTGTATTTATAACCTTTCAAATATGTTGATCTGTAACAGGCAAAGACAATTAAGCTTTCTGTAGAGGAGTACAAACACAAGGTTAAGGCAACCTATTTAAATCAAAGTTTCCCATTCCTCAATTTTAAACTTAAATTGGCAATTTAAGTTGTAAACCTAAATCAACCCATTCTGGCTCTTTTAATGGTCTCAGTCCCTCCACAAGCTCATCTCCTGCCCTGAAGCATAAGCAGATTTGTCTTATGTTGCTAATAAAATCACTACTTGGATACAAGTTTTCCAGGCCTGCAAAATTGCCTTGATCAGATTCAGATTCTGGCCTGCTTAGTTCCCATAAACCTGGTAATTCTGACTGATATGATTTCAATGGAGGATTAAAGAGCTGATCTCTCTGTGAGCAACTGACACAACCCAAAATGTCTACATTGCCCCAGACAGCAACTCCCTCCCAGGGAACATGTGAATGGCTAAAAGGAAAGATGAGCAGAGAAGGGCCGAGAGGGAAGGACTTCTCCTTTTATCATCACACCTCTGGTTCCTTGAGGATGGAGTGATGTTGCATTTTGCTTCCAGCAGTAACTCTCTTCCACTAGTAACTCTACACAGTGAGAGCATTAAGCACTAAGAAAGATACCATCACAAAACCACTCTGACCAGGAAACCACCACTGACGTCAGGACAAACCTTATGTTTCTTTAGGCCTCTCCAGAATACTCTTTAATATTAGATCAAAAGGTGACACAAAAGCACATCAGGTAGACCTGTACTACATTAACAGCAGTGAAGCAACTTCCCCTACTTGCTTTCCTGTAAAAAGCCTTCTGGAATATGGGACCATGGTCAGGATGCACTGCCAGAGGGGCCAAGGGACAGTTTGCTCCCTCTTCAAGGAACCACAGACAGGCACCCACCATGTTGTGCAGGCCAGAGCCAGAATGAGCACCTGCAGGCACCTTGAGGCATGTCTGGACCAAGTTGTGTACTGTTTTTCACACACTGCTGGTTAACCTGTGCAACTCCTTGCCACCAGATCCTGGAAATTTACTGGTGGCAGGACATCATGGGACAGAAATACAGAGAAACTCTTGAGCTAACAGGGTTAGACACTAGAGAAAGTTGTACACACTCCCTCTCTTCTTGTGTACTCCCAAAGTGACCAAAAGCAGAAGAGAAGGGCCACTGGGCTGCCTGGGCCTCTGGTCCCACCCTTGTGTTTTATTTCTGACATCAGCTTTTGGATGTAGCTCAAAGAAAAGACACTGTTCTAATCAGCCTCATTGCACTCCCTGTCCACCCATTCTGGCCAACAGCAACAGAGTCAAAAGGCCAAACCAGACCAGGACCTAGCTAAGAACCTGGATCAATAATAAAACAGGAACTCAGTGCAGACAAGAGTCCCAGAGCTGGCCAGGTGAAGGGGCTCTGCTGCAAGGACAGCCATAGGCAAGAGGAGACATCCATAGAGGCAGGGCTTTCCAGGAAACACCAGTCCAGAACAGGAGAACTGTTCATTGCGAAAAACACAGGGTGAGGAGCAGAGGTGCATGTCTGCAGACAGTCTGCCCCTCACACCAGACAGGTAACATTCATTTTATTAATCCATAATCCGGGACTGTCCTTGCCCTGCACAGCCAGGCCTCACTGTCTGTCTGGCTTCTTACATGTCCCTCAACAGACATGCATGAGGACAAGGAGGGGGTTAAAAGTCTGTTTTCTGACTAGAAAAGCCCACCAGAGAGTCAGTAGCTGACCACAAGGCTCTGCTAGTCTAGGATGACCCTACAAGGAGGGGATCTCTGTGAAATCCTGTTTTTAAGACACAAAATAAAAAGGGAAAGCAGATTTAAGAAACACCCCAATATGGCCCAACAACCCCTATGCTGACAGTGCTGTTCTATGAGAGGAGGAAGCACCCAGTCACTTACATTCATTGTCCCATTTATCTCTGCCACCGATTCATCATCTGTTGGGAACTGGTAGATCTGAACCCCGTTACTGACCAGTTCACTTGTGATTTTAATTTTAAACTTGGTCAGCTCACTCTTGGAAATGGCGTCAGATTTGGCAATGATGGGAATGATGTTCACCTAGAAAAGAACAGAGGAACAAAGTAATCAACTTTGCACCAGGGAGCTTTTCCAAGTCTGCAAAACGACCTTCAAAAAATTATAAGCGATCAATAAATCTACAGGATTTATCTGCCGAGCCAGTCATTTCCACCAGAAGGGCTATTCAAGGTGGGGAAAAGCTCTGGAAAAGCAGCAGCCTTTCCACCATGCAAACAGCAAACCTGCCCCATAAGAGTTAAACGTGCCCACCTTGCTGTCGAGCTTCTTCATTGTTACCAAGTCCAGGGATTTCAGCGAGTGTCCTGTCGGAGCAATGAAGTACAAGCAGGCGTGGATGCGGGTGTCATGGTAGTTGTGCAGGACCCTTCTTATCTTCAGTTCTTCTTGCAAGTAGGCTTCAAACTGAGCATCAATGAACTCAACGATGGGCTTATAGCTTTGGTGAAAGGAAAAAAAAAAAGCTATACATCTCACAGTCAGAGAGAAAAACAGACAGTGCTCCTTTGCTTGCTTTTAAGAAACAAGCTGCTTGTTAGAATTCACTTCCTGAGACCAATTCTCTCCATCTCCCTTCCTCTCCACCAAAAAAAATTTTAGAGTTACACTACTGACGTGGAGACATCAGACTCTAGCAGCCTGTTTGTCAAAACACAGTACCAGGATTCAGCACAGGACAGGAGACATGTCATCCTCCCCAGGGAAAGAGGACTCTCGTACTTTGAAATCAGAGGGTGAGAGACTTTCTAAAGCAAGAATGATGTAGACTCATTTGCAGCAGTGTGTAACCCTTGCTTGCACTCAGGGGTTGAATGGCTTGCTGCTCTCACAGCCCTGAGTCCTGCTGGTGGAAGACACAGCTCCATTCAGTACTGCCTTTGCCCAGTGCTCTGGGCAGGAAATCCCTGCAGCACCCTTCCAAGGCCTTCTGAAATACAGAGCCTTTCAGACTCATAATGTAAAGGACATCAGTGCATCTTAAACACAGTTTAAAAAAAAAAACTAACAGACCCACAACAAAGCAAATCCCGTCAGCAATGTCTCTGTGAAGATGCACCTTGGAGACTGCCTGCTGGAACTGCACATCCCTTAACCACCACAGCCCAGCCATTCTGGGATGTGAGCTGCCAGACACACCTCCCCTGGGTATCTCACTGCACAGTTATCGTGCTTCCTTTGGCAACACGGAGAAGTGGGTATTAAGCCAAGTGGTCACTAGACCACACAGGTGGTTTGGTTGGCAGCTTGTGGTCAGCACAGCCAAAACAAACCCAGATGCTGCCCTGGAGCATTCCACTCTCCCCATCAGATGAATTTGGGCAGAAGGTTGCCAGCAGGACAGATATTACTCTGACAGCGTAAGAAAAGCTGTTTCATAGCCAAAGCAGTGCTGACACTCCACAGCCTCTGTCCTCTCTTCTACCTGTCCCATCACAAAGAGATGACAAGGACAACCCATAAGAAAGAAGCAGGAAAAGTGTACAAGGCAGTCTGGCCCACCTAGGGCACAGGGAGAGACCTTGCATGAAAAACTAGGTCATGATATAGCCTCTCTCCCCCACACTCACCTGTCCTCTTTGTTGATCTGATCCCCAAAGCCCACTGTGCTCACAATAGTCAGTTTGAGGTTGACATTGCTCTCCTGCAGGTCGTAGGTACTGGATTTCAGCTGAACCCCGGGCTGTGAGTGAGATGCTGGGTCACCTTCAAACTTGGTGTTGAAAAGGGTGTCCATGAGGGTGGACTTACCAAGGCCAGTTTCCCCTGTTGGAAAAAAAGAGAGTTGAAATGTTCAGTTGAATATTAATATGGCTTGGCCTTTCAGCTTCCAACCATTAACAGGGGTGAAATTGTAGCAGATGAAAGCAGATCTCATGCTCCCAAGGGAGCGTCTGGTAAACAGAAAGCCATGAACAATGGGAGGTCTGTATTCTGGGCAAATTACATTTCACAGTCTAATGGCCATTAATATCGTTAGAAAATAGAGATGAAAAGAAAGAGGTGAAAAGGCGAAGGGGAAAGCATCATTCAGATCCTGCATAAACCCACAGCTACACTACAGAAGATGCTGTTTTCATTAAAAAAGGGGGGGGGGGGGGAATGGGGCTTACTGCCATTTCCAAAAAAAGCTGCTCCAGATCAATATGTGTTTAATAAGCAGCCACAGAAGCAGTCTCCTACAGTGCAGAAACCCTGAGAATTCATTCCAGTCCTGCAGCAAGTTGTGCAGTGGGTTTCTACTCACAACAGCTTGAGTTGGGGAATCAGCCTTCTAGACTGGGAGAGGGCATTTTTGGTAGTATCTGGTTTCCATATCTTAGGAGCTACACAAGCTATACAATATTCCAAAATCTGCTTCCAAACTTTCTGCAGCATTGAACTGTTACTTGGATCCCCTCTATCAACAGGTAACTATTTCACCAACTGGAAGGAAGAGAGAAATCCCAGAGACCAGTCTTAAATTTGTTTTAGATACATCCCAGGAAGAATAAAACAAATCCCTCTGTGCCTGCATTCCACAGGGCAGCCTCCCTTGCCAAGCTCTGAGAATGGAGCCAGGTCTCTGAGCTCAAAGGATCTGACTTCCTATGCAGTCTGGTTTGTTGCCCTGTGAGGGCTGTTGTGTTTTGGAGAAACAACAGTTTCTGAGCTGCCCGGCTGACTTTTGCAGAAACTTCAGGAGCCAGCTGAACCCCCACCCACTGCGGGAGCACAGGGGGGCTGTGTCTGGCTGCAGCAGCCTTTCCCTCCTTCCCTCAGCCCTCAGCTCCCAACCAAAACAACTTCATCACTTTCCTACTTTGCTCAGAATAAAAGAGCTTCTTATTTTTGTAAGTTTAGAGCTCTGCAACAGATCCAAACTTGCATGAAATGCCCAATTCAACAAGGGGAAACTCCTCCCCATCCTCGCCCTTCCAAATGTCCAAATCTCCAAGCCTCACCCCTTCAAGCAGGCAAATTCCTCTCTTGGCCACAGAAGGGATTTCTCTCACTCAGGGCTGAACTACAAGATAGGCAGGGCAAGGCAAACACAGATTCATAAAATCACAGAATGGTTTGCGCTGGAAGGGACCTTAAAGATCACCCAGTTCCAACACCCAAATCCCCTGCTCTGGGAACTGAGCTTCTCTGATTGCCAGGATCACATATCAAATACCTTTCCAGAGGCAGAAAGATTCATTAACATTTCAAAGTCAGCATACACCCTGAGCTGCAGAGCCAGCTGAGAGCTTGTGCTCCATCACCAAGGGATGCCAGATATGGCCAGAGCAGCCACCAGTCCAGTTGCTTTTTGCATCCCATTTGCAATCCGAAGGGGGGAAGAGGGAGTCAGCACCAGGGGCTGGTGTGGCTGCAGTCCCTTGTGCTATGTCAGTGCATCAGCTGTGCCTATGACACTGCTGACCAGAGCAAGGCAGGGGGACCCAGCAAAGCACAACGTTACCTCTGTCGCTGGAAAAATAAGCTCGTCCAGCAAGTCCTTCATCGACTTGGGATCTCATTGTCTGGACTTCTCAGGTACCATTTTCCCCCAAAAGGCAGCAGGTGCACAAAGTGCAGCAGACCAGAGCATCGCCACAGTTTGGACAGGGATTTTGAGAGTTAACAGCAGACAGCCTGTAGGACCTGCCAGGCCTTTCTCAGGGATTCCAGGAAAACGGCAGTGTAAAAAAAGACAAAAATCTAAACAGCCTGAGAAGGCTGCAGCATTTCCAGAGCCCCTGCCAAGGGATGGGTGGGACAGAGCAGCGAGCTGGCTGCTCGCCTGTGAATGCCAGGAACCCTGGATGGGACATCTGAGTTGGGGAGTCCATCAGCCCTGGGGTGTGGGACCATCACCCACACACCAGCCTGCAAAGCCTCCTCCTATGCCGCTGCCTCACAGCCTGGCAGGCCCTGGAGCAGGGTGAGATCCAGCAGTCTGTTCCCAAGCCTGCAGGGCTGCAGGACAGGGTGACAGGGGAGCAGCAGTGGTGACCAGGGCAGGGAGCTGCTCCCTGCAGCGGATACACAGATCATGTGTAACCCACACTGACTTCCAGGCAGACAAAATACCCTGTAAATCACCTCTGGTTTCTGCCTCCCTCCTTCTTTTGGGCAAAAGATGTTCATGTGAGGCCAAGACTATTGTTTAAGCACATCCTGAACCTGTTAATCATTGCCTACTTTAAATCAATCTAATGTGCTGTTTCCAGCAGGAAGGACTTTAATGTCAGAGGGGCCAGGTCAAGTGCCTAAGAGATGCAGGACATGCTTTTATATTCTATTTCATGACACCTACACAGGGCCAGCAAAGGCAACTCTGAATTCAAACACTAAGTTTTTTCTTTTGGAAGGGTAAGATCTGAACTGGTAAGTCATTTTTCCATAGGTGGGAGCTGACCATCCAAACACCTACAACTTCACATTTAAAACACAAAACACTCAGCCACTAACACAGCACGTCAAACATGAAGTCTGCACACCAAGAATTACACTGAGCCAGCAGATACCCCTGTCCCTGAGCTGTGTGACCCCACTGACATGGCACAGCATTAAAGCCTGCCAGGGAAGAGGACAGTGGAGAAGAGAGGAAAGACTGTCTCAGCTGAAAGAAACACAATGTTAACACTGACAAAGTGACATGAGATGGTAAAAGACTGAAGATGCTAATAAAGTTTTTCATTGTGTTAAACATGAGCAGTGTTACTCTGAAGGCCAAAACGACAGAAGAGAGGATTTCTGAATCTCCTGGGAATTTCTGCCTCACACAGAGGCAACTTTCTGCTGGCTGGAAGATGTGAATGGTGCCAACTGCTACTTGTAAGGACAGGAGTCCAGATGGAACAGATGGCCTGATGAAAAGGACAAAGTGGTGCGTGCTTGTTCCAGCCAACAGCACTGGAATCATCTCCAAAAAGCAGAAATGATGAATGGGGATTAAGAGGCAGAATTACTGTGAAAAAAGCAGCGGTGTACACAGACCGAGTGAGAGGCATCCTTGGCAGGGGGATTATTTCCTGATGTCAAGCTTATGGGCACACGTGATTTGATCTCCAAAACCGTACTTAGGGGTTATGCAACTAGGCAGTGGTCTGCTCTCCCAAAACAGGGCTGACAAAAAAGGACAGGGCAGAGAGGGTGACCTTTACTGGTAGAGTTCTACACCAGGAAGCTCTGACAGCTACTGAAAAGCTGTAGTGTTGTGCCTTTCATCATGGGATGGAGGTTTGCTGCTAAGACCCACGATTTTCAGAGACATTAAAAAACAAACAAAAATGGCAACAGACACCACACCAGGTTCTGGACACACAGCAGCCCTACAGCAGTGCCCAGAAAGCACCACCCACTCTTAATGCCCACAGCAGGCTGTCAGGCAAGAGTCACTGTGCTGGGCTCCCCACACCTCCTCTCGTTCTGAGATCTGCTCTCTGGTCCAGCTGCACATGCACTGGACCAGCACTGCTTCAGTGCTCTATGGAAATGGTTCATCAAATCCCACATTGATGGAGCAGTGGCATCACTTGCAAAACTACAGCTGGGACAAGCTCCCAGCTTCCCAAATCAATACAGGTATCTTTGTGGTGAATGAATCTTCATGGCTTCTTCCTTCCACAGAAATTTTGGCATCCTAAGCACCCTGCAGCAGTAAGCTGAATTATACACCACAAAAGCTGTACCTCCTTTTTTTGTAGCTGGAGATTTAATTTCCTTTTCCCTAGGATGTGATAAGTGAAACAACAAGCAACTGCTCACTGGCCCCCTTCTCCACATCATTCGGGATTTAAGAGGCCCCAATCATATGATCTTCATTCAATTCTGTGGGAGGACAGAGAAGTCCTTGCAGTATTTCCCTGTTCAAAGGCATAGAACAGCTTTCAGAAGAGCACCCTTTCGTGAGAGAGCAGCACCTGTCCTTCACAAGAGTAACAACCGTGCCTCCAGATATCAAACAGTTCAAGTTTAAAGAAAATGTATACGCATGCACAGCCTTTTCATGTGTAGAAATGGGAGCTAATCCAATGTAGCAGGTTTGTTGAGACAAGCCCTGAGGCAGCTCAGCCTGATAAGGGCATCTCTCAAGGAGACGGGAAAAAATAGCTCGTTTCATCTGACAGGTGTACAGAGACACCACACAATTCACCCACTGCAGGGCAAAGGCTGGGTTGTGGAGGCAAAAGGAGCAACATCAGCTCACAAAAGATGCAGAAGCATCTGAGAGGACCACCCAGCTCCCACCATCCATCCCAGGGGACCAGTGGCGAGGGGGCAGCAGAGGGCTGAGGAGACAGATGGCTTTTTGGTTGGAGAAACCGTGCTGTCTCCTCAGCAGGCTGCACCAGTGACCATAAAAACAACCACGGGGTAACTTCCAGGCTGTACAGCTCGTCACCCCAGAGAGCTGCCTGCTGGAGAGAAGGGAAGCCTGTGCACATCCCTCCCTCCTCCAGCTGGTGAGAGCTCCCACACACCACGGGGCTCACTCATTTGGAGTGACAGACCTCAAGCAGTCTTGGTACAGCCCCTGGGGAAAGTGAAGGTATTTCTACTTAAATAGCCATTTTTCATTGCACTGGATAGGCCAGTTAGAACAAGTTCCCTAAGAGAAGAAGCAGGAAAATCCTGCTTATAACGGGATACTAGTCTAATGCAACTGTGATCTACCCTGGCCAAAACTGAGCAAGTTTACATTAAAAACCTATATATATTCCCCTTTTATTTCCCCCATCTCACTGAGAAATAGTCAGCACAGAAAGTTTCAGCCATTAAATACCTCTTCAGCCTTTGTACTGAACTAAGAGGCAACTAACAATTTATCACAGAAGCTTTAGGAAGAAAATGACTGTGCTGAGGAATAAAAGATCAGAGAAACCATCCACAACCCCTAACTTCTTATGAGAGGTTTTCTCATTTATTCTATCTTTGGCTTTAGTCTCAAAGGGGAGACAGCTTTCAGCATGAGAAGAGCTAAAAATTGCTCCACTCTGGACGTGCTGCTGAGAGTCATTTTTGATGCTTTCCTTGGCTTCTCCACCAGGAGCTGGAGGGATCGGTGGCTCAGATCCAATATGACGCAGAGTAAAATTGCCATTGGATTTTTCCTCCAACAGATGCCACACACATCTGAAAAATGGGAGGCAATGAAGTGCCTTTCTGTCATGCTTACTGGCCTCTCTATGGGATCACTTCATCTATTCCTTTTGTTTGCTCCAATCCTCATTTGCTCCCTCTTCTTTCAATTTTTCACCCCAAACTCCTGCTGTCCAAGTGAGATCCAACAGAATAAATGACAGACGAACTCTGGGAATTTTTGGTTTTTTTCTCCAGGATGTTTAAGAGTTTAACTCTGTTTCCACAAGTTAACAGAGGCACCAGACAACTCTTAAAAAACACTTTAAAGCCTGGCCTCCTCAACTCTAGATTTGTGGATCTTTTTCTAATTAAGTTTATTCATTTTTTCTATAAAGTTTCTTTATTTCAGGATTGACGGTGTTATTACTGTTCATAAAAGACTGACATTAATAACTAATGCACATTGATCTTGGTGTGTCCTTGTCATTCAGATCGACAAGGGATTAATGTATTCCATTTCTGTCCTCCAAAGAGGAAAGCAGAGGCATTCAACTCCTCTCCACACATCAAAGTGAACATATAACCACAGGAGGCACTCCCTGCTACACCTAGAACTTGTAGAAAAAAACACTGCAGCTCGGTAAGTGGAAAAGGAAACTCTTCAAGGCTTCATTCTTGGGGCCAGGAGTTTCACTAGGTCATATCACATTTACGTACCGTGGAAATCACCAGCGACTCAGCCTGACAGTGACCTCCATTTGTCAGCAAAGTTTATCATCTCACAGGAATGCCGTTGTACAGAAAAATTTCTTCTCAGCTCCATTTAACAGGGCTCAGCTCCCCTCTCCTCGCTCCACTACTCTTGTTTCAGACTTAACCCTGTCCTGGGCAAACACCAGGTCCATACCATGAGCTGCATCTCTCATGGGAGGGGACAGAAAAGCTCTGTGTCCATGCTGACCACCAGCTGAGTCCCCAGGAGGTATCCACAGCTGCTTCTCTTCCCTCTGTCACACCAGGCACAGCTAGGATCATCTGCAGACTCATCTCAGGGCTTATCCTGAGCAGCCATGGCCACACAATAACCTCCTGCTCCCCAGAGGCAGGGGATCAGCATCAGTAAAACAATCAGACAATTATTAATTCTCTATTATTAATTTCCTTATCCACATTGCCAAATCACTCTATCAAAGCCATACAGGGTTTTTACTTCTGCCTCCAAGGAGGGACTATTTGGGATCCTAACCCTGGGAAGACCTGTGAGACGGGATGCAGGGACTGACACCAAGTCCTGCTACAGTGCCAGGCCCCAGCTGTGATCCACACATGGCATCTTGGATAATCGTCTGACCAGTTAAGGCTTGGCTAGACACAATTTTAATTCAAGTATGCACAGAAGGGAGGAGAAGAAAATAGCTTTTAGTGATTTAAGAGGCGACGACTAGTATTTTGTTAAAATAATTATAATAATAATTCAATACCTAGCCAGACAAGACCTCAGAACAAAGTACTCTGGCATGAGTACCTATTTTCTTTTAAAAATGTGAAATTCAAACATACTAGGAAAATAAAGATCATAATAACAGCCTGTGATTTTAGGCATTTTATTTCACTGCTTGGTAGAAAGCCATACTGCAGAACACCAGCGGGGATTTCCCAGAGCACCAGTAAATCTTGTTACTGAAAATAGAACAGTTGGGGAAATTTAAATCAAAGCTACCTTGTTAACGCTGTCACCGACAAGCTACATCCAGCTGCAGAGAACTTTTCAGCAAGAGAACTTCCCAAAATGGAAATACTCACCCACACACAGGATGTTGAAACAAAACCCATGATTAACTGACTTATTAACCAGCTGGTCAGGCAAACTGTCAAATCCTACGTGTCCAGAGAGCGGGACAGTACGACAGCCTTCACCCTGAAATACAATGAAATAGTTGTGTCATTTTCAAGCAAAATACACTGCTCTGTCTATTCTCTAAGACCTCCCAAGCAGAATCAACTGCACAGTCCAAGCAGATTTGCAGGGATGCTGTCAATCATGTCAGCGTGCTTCCCTCTTCCCCAAAACAAATCCAGGCGGCACAAATAGCACGTTTCATTTGCCACACATCTGAAGGTAGCCCTGTCAGAAAAATACTAAACTTTGCAAAACACGTACCCAAACACAGCTGCTGAAATAAAGAGGCAGCAAAACACTTGTTTCTTGAGGAAATACATAGAAACTCAAGTCTCATACTGAAAACAAAAAGAATCTCCGGTGCAAAGGAGTGTATTAATGACACTTCCTCCTATAAGCCTAATACAATTCACTTTATGTGAATTGGAACTCACATGTAATTCCCATTCACAGCTGCAATTACAGAAACTAGCTAGAACAGTTAGGAAAACTGGACCTACATCTAGTAACTGAACAACTGGACCTACATCTAGTAACTGAGCAACCCAAACACATTGTCTCTGCAAAGTTCAATTGCTGCAGCACAGAAACAGCAGAGAATACAAGCTCCAAGCTATCAAACACAGCAATATCTTCTGTACTGTTGTGAAGATGAAAATCTCAGACTGCAAAGAGGAGTCTGTCCAAATCTGTAAAACAGCCACTGGCACCTGAAAATCAGGGATCACTGAAAGAAGCTGCAAGGGAGATGCTCACATAGGCAGGTGGCCAGACCATGCAAGGCATCAGGTCTTCTCCAGCTCCAAGTGTTCCTATCCGAGCTTCAGAGCACATCTTTGAAAGCCAGGAACCAAACAGGAAAACACAAACTGAGAAAATGTGTCCAGAACTCAGCTGCTCATAAACCCACTGCCCTATCAGAAGGGAGCCTGCACGAGGGTTTGGGAGTGGGGGTACCCAAACCTGTCTGCGGGGGGGCAAGGGCTGCTCCTGCCCAGCCACCCAAAGGACTTCATGACAAGGTGCTCCTGCACCCTCTCTCCTGTGCCCAACACCACCAACCCAGTCTCCCCAGCCAGGTGCCCCCTTCTGCCCCAGGATGCAGAAGGGCTGAGGCCCAGCTCCAGCTCCACACCATGCACAGCCACTTCCTTCTGGAGGAATTTCCACCTGGCCATTGCACACAGGCCTGTGTAGGCCAAGGCACCCAGGGTTCCAACCCTGCCCAGCAAACAGCAATAAACCACATGCAGGAGCTCAGCCTCAGAAATGGCATCATGCAAAACAGAGAGAACGGTGCTACACCCACGTTATTTGTGTGTACTGGAAAGTTGCCCTCCTGCAGCCCCCAAAAAGCAACTATCTGCCTCTCTGAAGAAAAGGCTTCTCTTAATAACGTATTTTAGTGTCAAAACCAGAAAATTCCCCTCTGGCTTTCCAGGAACATCATAAGTCTGCAAGAAATACTACAGCCAAAAGGCAATAGTTTACAGGGTGTAATTTTTGACTTGTTCTTTCAGAATCATGCTCTCACGTATCTTGAAAGACTGTTTGCAAGGACAGGCATACTGGTTTCCCCTCTTCTGCTAATGGCACTGGTATTTTAAGCTAGGAAAACATCCCCAAGGAGTGCATTTACTACAGTAGCCTGTCAGTATCATTACTCGCCTTGTTACTGTTTTGCTGTTGTGGGTTTGTCTTTTTTTTTTTCAGATATGAGGCTCCAAATACACTGCAGCCATTAACCATATTTACCAGTCTGTGATGTGTAAATATGTTTCCCCTTAGCCATATTTTGTGTATTAGTCTGACTCTTCCTGCCAAGATGTTCACCAAATATGGTGCTTTATTAATTCCTGAGCACCTTCCCTCCTAACGACATGTTCATGAGGAAGGCGCTCGAGTTCCCCAGCAGATTTTGGTTTTGCCTTGAGGATGCAGCTCCAAGTGCAGCAATGCACAAACAGCTAAAGCAGAAGAAGGGGAGGCTGTCAGGCACACAGATTTTTGTGACAACACACTCAAACTCTCCTAGACTGCATTCACCAAAACAAAACCCAGCACCAGGGTATCTTATGGCAGTGCTGGATCTGCAGCAAAAGCACCCGGTCCCGGTGAAGAACAGATGGGGGGACAGAGTCCGTGAAGGTGAGAGAGAGAACCACAGGCAGACTGCTCCTGGGGAAGGAGAAATATCAAGTGTATTTTTAATACTCAGCCTTAAAACTGCACCGTTTGAAGACTGCTTGAACACTACTCTCCCCAGGAAGCGTGGGCGGGAGTGTAGGCTCTCATTAAGAACAAATCTTCCCCTCATCCCTAAATATAAGTGTGATCCAGATGGAACAAAATAAACGGTAGAAGTTAAGCCACACTGGGCTGAGAGCAGGCATTTACCATCGCACAGAATTCAGCCTCCAAGTCATTTCCTGCAGCTTCTTTTTCTAGTCACCTGTGGTTTTATAATGCAGTTAAACCACACTTCACGTCTGCTACAGGCCAGGAAACAAGTACTGTGAAATCCGATTTCCAGTCACAGCAGCTGAGCCTTCATGTTAACTACACAACCATGTGCTACTCTGGCAAAAAAGCTAAAACCTCCTTGGCCAAGGCATCAAGAGATCAGATGCAATGGGAAAAAAATAAGAAAAAATGTTTTAAGGTCAAACACACATCAGAAAGTTGTCAGCAGTTACCAAACCTGTGGAGAGAAAATAAACATTTTCTATCTGATCCACCAAGAAACTGTGCAAGTCACCAGTCTTCAGGCACCAAGTCTCTGTACCAAGAATGCTGCTATATATAAAGACCATAATCATAAACAACATATGAACACAATGATTAGTCATCCTGGATGTATATTAAATGTAGAGTTGGATCACCTTGTTCAACACTGAAGGAGAATACGTTAAGCTTATAAGCTTTTTGCTGAGAAAGTGTTCAAGAGCTGTCTTGTATTATTTATCTTTGAAAACAAAGTTTCAGATCAAATTTAAAACATATACAGAGGTACCAACAAGGTAAGTAAGGCTTAACTATTGCGTGAAGGCTTTTTCCCTGAGCATCAGTGAGTGCTGGATAGCTGAGTCCTTCCATACTCTCTGCTTTAAGGTTACCAGCTTCTTGGAACAAAGGCAAAGATGGAATGTCTGGAAAGGCAGTGTGAACACTGGCACCACACCAAGATCCCAGATGCCTTCTTTTCCCCCATATACACAGAGTGACCCGCTCCAGGATAGAATGGGCTGTTGTTGCTCGGGAGGAAGCGAAGCATGTTTGTCACAAACAAGATTAAAAGAACAAAAAGAGCAACACACTCTCTTGCTGCATCATCAGGGTACTGCAGAGTGAAAGTAAGGAGCAGCCACTTGGAGAGGTTATTTTACTTTTTGCTTGTCTTTCAAGGATTTACACAACCTTTTGTTAATGTTTCTCCGTGTCAAAAAAGCCATCACTGCCTACTCTGATTCTTACAGAGAACTATTAGAAATATATGAAAAATACAAAGATTTTATAATGGACAACCCCAAGCCTGAAAGCACTGCACATTAAATATTAGTTTACATAAAATCAGTGAGATTTAGACTCCGAGGTGTTTGAATCATTCCAGGGTCCTTGGGATGAAGAAATGATTAAAGGAAAATCTTGCTGAATATATGTCTGTGCCTTGATCTACTTTACACGACAAGCAGGTACAGCACTGTCACCTCCCAACGTCCTCAAAGCCCTGAGAGGCCGTTTCCTCTTTGTGGAGATAAAGCAGAGCATGGTCCCTGAGACACACAGTGATGCTGCCATTGCAAATGTCAACGCTGCATATTCAGAACTATTTCTGGTGGCCTGGTCTAAAGGACACCACGGCAAATGAAAAGCCTCCACTTCGTGATATTCAAGCAGAGCACGGCAAATAAAGAACGTCACAGCTCTGAACCCAAGGGACCAATATCCAAACAAGGCCAGCACAGCATGAAACTGCTCCCAAAGGCTGCATCTAATTGAGAAGACTGTTTCTGTTTAGGACACTGACAGCTGACATTTAGTACTTCTGACACAATTTCCCACCTCTTCCCAAATGAGAATCACTTAAAACACTGAGGCCTTGGAGACTCCCTTCGAAGGATTTCCAAACTGCTGCAACAAACACAACAGCACCATCCCACAACAAAACCAAATCAAGCAACACTCACAGAGCTCCAGCACCTCTGCCAGTGCTCAAAGCAGCCACCCCCCCTGCCCCTCTGCTGCCCCGTAATGCTGAGACCTGGGGGCTTAACCCCCAAACCTGAGACAACTCTTGCACAAGAGGTCACATCACAAAGCAAGGCAGAACCTGAACAGAGGTTTCCACACCACAGTTTTCCACATCAGAACAACATTAGATCCCTTCTCCTGACCTTGGCGTTACAGCATCCACTTCCCCAGACTGCATTTGGCTCTGATTAAACAGCAAATTAGAGCAACACTTGTACGAATTACTTCTCACTTGTACAAGTAATTCTCTCATGCAACGAAGGAATTATCCAGCAGACAGTATAAACATCCTCCCTGAGATAAATGTAAAGCAAGAATGTAAAGTCTAGATAAAGACTTTGTATTTCTTCTCTTTGCTCAGCTGATAACAAATCAACAAGAATATAAAAGAAAAAGAAAAGTGAGAGGGAAATAGTTTTCAATCAGCCACCACAGAAAGGAAGAAACGTCTCACCAAAGATCCTGACCATCGACCACCCTCTTCAGACGCACTGCATCACTCGGCCACTCAACATGCACAGTCAAGTGCTTCCAAAATCTCAAATTCTGACAACTCCTAAGATTACACTTCCTTATGCCCCTGCCAAAAGGCTGCAGAAACACCAATGCAGTTTGGATACATTCCCAGAAGTCTCCTCCAGCAACTCAAAAATACATATCACTACCAGCAGTCATAATGGTTTTTCTGACCCCTACTAGAGATTGAGAGTTGAATAGTGTCTGGCAAGTCGGTTCTCTGCACACATCCTCCCCCTTGGGCAGCAGAGTGGACACATTCCCTGTGGTCTCAGCGTTTAAATCCTGCACCCTCTGCACCAAGAGAGGACAGGAGAAGAGACTCAGCTTGGTGGTGACACGGCCCCACTGGCTGCCCGGGGAGGAGGGGGTTTCACTGACCATCTCCACAATAAACGCGGGTTTGATGAACGGTTTGCTGGGGCAGAGGCTGGGTGGTGATCCCAACTGCCCCACAAATCCAGGCCTCACACGTTTAACCCTGTTGGCACACTCAGAGCCCTCTGCATTACCTGGACAGTACAGCTGACTGCTCCACAAACCATGGCCATGACCGGATGCCCAAGACCTTGGCTGACAAGTCAGCTATCTGAACAAAGACATGTGCAATTTGCAGCGCATTAATTTCAAGCCTGTCTCACAGCCAGCTTTCCCTTTTGCCCCCAAAGAGAGGCTGTGCCATATCATAATTCATGCCAGGCCACGAGCAGATGTCTGAAACTCCTGTACATTATCTTAGGAAAGTCTAACACTCAATTGCTTTTAAAAGACAGGGGAGCAAGTGAGTCACTTTACATACCTTGGCAGTCACATACAAGGCAATGGGTATGTCCAGGAAGAAATAACATCACAAACTGGCAAGGAATGGCTACATTTACCCGTTCAACAAGACTGGGTCCATGCTAAAACCTACTGCTTTGAAGACGAAATGGCAAGCATTCCTCTCAAGTATTATTTCTGTACTAACGCACGGACATCAAAGTTGGAAGCCCATCAAATCACAGACAAAACGCTTCCGCATGCAAACGCGTTACAGATGCCTTCTTACCATTTCTCTAACATACGCAAAGGTGGCTCGGCTCCCTCTCCTCCTCGTATCTCCTGCGGAGATAATTCTCCGCAGGCACACGGAGACCTTGTGTCGAGCACGGCGGCGGCCCGGGGGGACATCTCGGGGAGTCCCTCCGGGTCAGCGCAGCGGGGACACGGCGCTGCTGCCGATCGCCTCCCGCAGCTCCTCCGGCACACGGTGCCGGCCCGGCCACCTCCCCGCACCACGCACTGCCGAGCACGGGGCGATGTTCCTTTGGGAGAGCAGCATCCCTGGAGAGACCGGGACGCCACCGCCGCGCCCCGGCCGGCGAGGGGCCCCCACCCCGGGCGGGGGAGCGGGGCGAGGCTTCCCCAGCGCTGCAGCCCGACCAGCGCCGGGTCCGGGGGCACCGGCCGGGCAGGACCCCCCGCCCATCCCGGTGCGGGAGGACAAGGCGCCGGGCCGGGCTGCAGCGGGGGACCCCAACACCCCCTACCCCGGGCAATCCCGAAAGCCCTGGGGACGGACCCCAAACCCCGACCCTCCGGGAGCCGCCGCCCCGGGCCGAGCCCCGCAGCCCGCAGACGGCCCCAGGCCGGTGTCCCCGCAGCCCGCGCCCCCCTCCGCCCCGGCCCGTCGCCCCGGCCGTGCCCGACTGTCCCGCCCGCCGCCCCGGCGCTGCCCGGCCCCGGTTCCCCCGCCCCGGCGCTGCCCGGGCCCCGCGATGCGGCGGCCCCGCGCCCGCCCGCACCTGCCGCGCCACCTCGGCCGCCGCCATCGCTGCGCGCCCGCCGCACGTCCCGCCCCGGCCTGCGGGCGGCTCCGGGCGCGCCCACCGCGGCACCGCACGGGGGGATCCCGCCGCGGCACCGCGCCCGCCCCGCCAGCCCCGCCCTCAGCCCGGGCTGCACCATCGCGGGCGGTCGAAGGGGGGGACCGGCGGCCCCGCGCCCCCCGGAGCGCGGCGGCGGCGGCAGCGGCGGGCCCGCCTGGCCCGAGCAGGGCAGGGGCGGCGGGGCCCGGCGGGGCGTGGCGCGGAGCGCGGGGCGGGGCTGGCGCGGGGCCGCGGCGGGAACCCCCCGAGTG